TAATCTTCTTTGGCAGTTGTTCAAACAAATCTACCACTGCAGCTTCAACATATCCCAATACTTTTGGGAAGATGACCATACCATATATACCCAGAGCAAATAGATCGAATCGTACTTTAGCGTCTGGATGACTCTGAATAAGCTCCCTGATATTGGTCCAAGCAATTCCTTCGCTTTCGCCTTTTTGTTTTGTACGGGCCGCTACCCATTCTTCTCGTACCCCGGCAATCTTTGCTAATTTAACTCGGAAGGGTTGAGTTTTTATTGACTTTGAATAGATTCGATTCTCCAAAGCCCCTTCGATATGTAACAAAGTTGTGTATTCTTCAATAGTGGGGACCAAGTCTTCCTTATTGAAAGTGAAACAATTGTACCCTGGATTCCAGAATTGAACTAGGGCTCGGAGTAATTCATCATTAATTTCTACATAGAGCAGATATGGGATATCTCCGTAAGTCTGATAAAACTGCAATTTTTTGTTTGAATCCCAACTTTCCCAAATGCTTCGCAAATCTTGCATATCATTTCTTTTTAGTGAAACTGAAGCATAACTGGATAAGTCAGATACATAATCATCTGGCAGACTATCTCCTTCTTGTCTTTGTAAATCTTCAGCCCACTGTCTTACTTCTGAGTTTAGAATTACTTGACTTGAACCCTTTTTATCCATGGATGAAGGTTTTCCAATGAGACTATTAACACAAGGATCAATGTCTTTTATCCTGTATGATGTTATGCAAACAGAAAAATAAAGAACACACAAAAAGAAAATAAGTTAGTTTAAAGGATAATAACATTTATTTAATTTAAACATGCTTTTCTAAATAATTTAAATAAACATGTAAAATAAATTAACAGGAAAGACATAATTCATTTCTCCTGTGTGTACACCTATTTTGGACAAAATTTCGGCATGACTTCTGATCGGAAGAGTTTCTAAGGGTTTTTTATATGCAAGGTTTCAGATCTAGGAATAAAGGTACCCGAATTGTCTTTGTTAGTGCCCCCTTGGGTTGCTAACCCTCAATCCTAGTCCATCACAGACTAAAGTGAATCGAGTTCAATTCGAGGGGATACATTTCTCTATGCCTGACACGGAGAATAAATTCTCACGAAGACATAGAGCATATGAACCCCGAAAGTTACTTGCTAGGTCTGACACGGAGAATAAATTCTCACGAAGACGTCGCTTTCACTTCCACTTAAAAGGGACAACTCAACTATAGAGCTTTATGTAATGCAATGCAAGTGTTGTGTGTGAGGAGAAATGTTCAAACCTTTGACAGAAAAAAATAAATAATGATATAAAATAATTGCAAATAAAACATATAAATATTATAAAAATAATAAGTAAATATAAAAAATTTTGAAAAGAAAAATTAAAAATTAAATATATAAATTTTAATTTTTTAATTAATAGAGACAATTTATAATTGATTTTTTTAAAAGTTTGACCAAGTCCCCAGCAGAGTCGCCAAGCTGTCGTAACCGGTTTTCGTCCGGGCACGAAATATTAAATTTTGGCGGGGAAATTAATGTTAATAAATAATTTTGAAAATAATTTGTGAGTCGCCATCGACCTTTTGGATCAGGTAGATCGAATACCTAAAAATTATTTTTTAAAAGAGTTTTAAGAAAACATCAATTAAAAAATCGAACTGATCTGCGTTTTATAACCAAAAATTCATTCTTTTTAATAATAAAAAGGGATTCGTGGTCGGTTACGTTTAGGGAAGGATTAGCACCCCTACAACGCCCAAAATTGGTACTTTTTTTTTTATAAATTGTCTCTATTATTTAAAATTTAAAAATTCAAAAATATATTTAATTTATAATCTTATAATTTCAAAATTGTAAAAAATTTTATTTAAAAATATCTGAAAAGAACTTCTAGGTACCTTAAGACAGCTCTTTTCTTTGATATTGATAAATATTAATAATATTGTTTAATTTTAAAACATCAGAATAGGACATCCAGTTATATTAAGACTGTCCTTTTCTTCGATATTAAAAATAAATATTTAAAAGTTAATATTTATTATATATATTTATGAATATATATCAAAATATTTAACAATATAATAAAATAATAAATCTATTAAACAATATATTTAAAAACAATAAAATAAATAAAGACATATAAAATTAATAACTAAATTATAAAAATAATTACTAATTATTAATTAATTATAGGATTTAAATATTTTATTTAATAATTTAGTGACCAAAAGGAAATTATTTAAAATTCAAATTTTATAATAGAATAAATTAAAAATATGAACTAGTGATTAAAAAATTATTTATTAAAATTAAGGGATTAAATCTGTAATTTATCCTAAATATATTATTTTAATATGAAGGACTAAAATAGAAGAAATTAAAATTCGAAGCCTGAATTAAAAATATTATAAATTCAATTTAGTGACTAAAATGTAAAGTGTACAAGCACTAAGGACTGCGGAAGGGATTTAATTTTCTTATAATTACGCGTATAGTCCTTCCCGAAACGACGTCGTTCGGGAAGGACTATAAAAGTCCCAAACCGGCTGGCCCTTCGGGCCAGCCATTTCATTTTCTTTTTTTTTTTCTTTCTTAAACCGAGAGAGAGAGAGAGCCAGAATTCTCTCTGGCCTCTCTCTAGATTCCCTCACCGGAGGGAATCCGGCGGCCGTCTGCCGCCGTGAGTTCTGCCGCCGGCCACCGCCGCCGGTGGCCGTAAAAAATATTTTTAATCCTAAATGTAGATCGGAATGCCCTAAGACCGATTCCGGTCTTTGTTTTCTCTAAAAGACTCCTAATCGGAGTAAATCTAAACAAAACCGAAGGGTTCTACCTTCTTAAACGGCGGTTTGGCAACGTTTGACTTCCGAGGGCTACAAAGGCTTCAAGGGTAAGTCTTCTTCTTCTCTTTTCCTTTGGTTTACTGCTGTGGTTGTAGACTGGGATCGTTGGTATAGCTTATTTTTTTCTTTTCTCTATTTTTTTCTTTTGGTTTCTGTCTCTCCTGCGGTCTCTCTGTTCTCTTCCTTCTTTTTCTTCGCAGGTGGGTGGTGGCTTTTATAGCCACCACCGGTGCGGTCATCGGACCGGTCCAAAGAGAGGGCTTCGGTGAGTCACCGGACTACCAGTGGTGACTCACCCCGTAGCCTTGGCGTGGACGGCCGACGTTGATCTTCTGGATCCTTCATTCGGGACGTGGCAGCGGCGGAGGCGGTGAGGGCTTCTGGAAGCAGCAGCGGCGGCGGTGGACGTGTCCCTAGGGTATAGATACCCTAGGGTTTCCTCTGGCAAATGATGGACCGTTGGATCAAACCAGATCCAACGGTTGAGATTGAAGATGGCGGCTGGCGGCTGGCTAGATTAGGGTTTAGAAACCCTAACTGGAAACCCAAATATTTAGGGTTTCCGGTTGGATTTGGACCGGTTTCAGTTGGTTTGTAACTGAGCCGGTTTAATTGTAACTGGTTTGTATTTAATATATTTAATAATAAAAATAATAATAATAATATTAATAATAATATTAATAATGATAATAATAATAATAATAATAATAATAATAATAATAATAATAATAATAATAATATGGATAAAAAAATTTAGTATCTTCAGTATCTATCTTTGGAACTAAAGCAAATTATGATGATAATAGATGAAAGCTAGATCTTTTAGGGGTAAAAAATAAACAACTTTTATGTACCTACAAAATTCTCGTCATCTCCTCCAAGCATTCATGCAAGGTTCCTTGCTTCATCTTGTTTGCTATCACTTTTTCACAAATGGAGAAACATGAAAGATAAAAGTTTTAAAAAGAAACACCCAACAGAGATTCAACAACCCTTTTTCTAAAAGAAACATACAAGGAAGAGAAAAGGTAAAGCAAATGCAGATGGAGAAGAGAGAATGAAGATAAGAGGGTTCTAAAGGGAATGGAAGAGATGGTGGAGGAGAGCCCTGAGATGGAACTAATAAGAAACTCCCAAAGCCAAAGACGAGACGATATGGGTGTTGAAAAACAAAACAACAAAGAATCGAGTCAGGACATAAATAAAAAGCTGGGTGGTGGCTTTGTTAGTTTGGCTGAGAAACACAAGATTAAGAATTGAGACAATATTTGTTGTCGGGGTATGTTGGCTGCTTTGTTGTTGAGAGTGAGTAAAGTGCGGAATGCAGGTACTTTATATGTATGTTTTTAAGGCTACCCCGTGAAAGAAAATATACAGCCCTCTTTCTTTAGTCGCTGGTAAAAACCAGAAGAGGCCGGAGAAGGACAAAGATATATGCTTTTACTGTTCATAATTTTTTTAATCCTCCCTAAAAAAATTAAACTTTCCCCATTGTTTTCTACCTTATTACAACCATGCTAATTCTTCAGAAGTCGAACACTAAAGAATCATTCATTTATTCGGTTCATTAACCGAAACGTATCTTTTCATAACTATCAAGCAATTATGAATGCATATTTCGTGACGACCACATGGATAATCGTATCTTTAAAATATTTCTGGCATTCAATCTGATTTTCAACAGTGTTTTCCTCTCAGGGGGGGTGTTTATTATAATATTATTCAAACTGCTTGTGACCAACATCATCTTGGAATCTGATACAACTAAATTTTCCAAGCGTGTCTTTGGAAATCACAATATCTTATAAATATAATTGATTGTTGCAGCTGTCTCTTCGAATGAAACACGGCCTTGTTCTTCGATAATGGATTTCTGCATTTTTTTGTACAAAAGTTTTGGCCCAAATGACAAGTATTGTACTCGGCAAATCTCTCAAGTTCGACGAAACTATAAGTGCAAGGTTACCATCCAGATTAGTTTAATGTACGAGTAAAACAACAGCAATTTCTTATTACCCTTGCTTCAAAGCAATCGATTAGTTAATGAATCAGGCCTTCATTGAACCTTAAACAAGTGTTAATGCATTGCAAAAATTGTTACAGTCAAAGAGTAGATTCTGAAATTTCATTTATTCAAAACACCAACAGACAGTGAATTTTTACAGCCATTCTTTAAAAGCCACCCCGGTAGATGTCAACCAAGATCCTCCTTGTATAAGCTCAGCCACAGTGAACTTTTTGGCCTCTTCGGCACTAGTAATGACATGAAAGCCTGGCCATTTCACTCGCTTGCTAGTGTCGGCTCTTGGTCCCATGTTCATGTACTCCCCATAGTACAATGTCTTCAAGGCGAAATCCCCACTCCAAACTGACCACCCCGAAGGGTCAATATGGTCACCAATGTAGGATTGCATCACGACAGATCGCGAATACTCTTTCCAGGGCCGGCCTAAATATGACTTGATGGAGGCTTTAACGGGCTCAAGATTAGCACTTGCTATTATATTACAGCTTTGGATCGAAATCCCAGTGTTTTGGTTTGGGTCTATTCTGCCTTGGGCAGTGATCATATTTGATTGTGAGTTCATGGGTTTTCGGGCCACGAGTTTGCAGTTCTGGAACACCACAGCTGCATTACCAAATATGAAGTCCACCGTGCCCGTGATGTAGGAATCTCTGTAGAATTGGCGGTTCGAGTGGGCATAAAGTGTGTCTTGGTAAGCATCGATCTTGCAACGGTTTATAACCGATTGGTCAGCTCCGACTCGGAGAGCCACTGCTTGGTGCTTTTGTGGCCCAGCTGTGTTTTGAAACCATATGTCTTGGGCCATAAATCCATCACCAACGGCCGCTGCATTGTAGATAGCAAAAACTGCCTTAGCTGCTCATTTGGTATCATGAAGGATAATATATAACTGTAATCAAATAGTTCAAAAAAGTGGGAAAAATATCTTTACCAATGGTGGCTGAATTGAAGGTTGTGGATCCATCAATGACATTTAAGCTACCAGTGATTATAGTCGAATTCAGGCCGTCACCAACAATCATCAAATTCTTCTTACTTTTTCTAATCTCAACGTTTTCTTTGTAAGTACCCTTTTTCACATAAATTATGTACCTGTTCGTGCTTTTATCTGGTGCAGCTGCCACAGCCTCTCCTAACGTCTTGTAGTTGCCACTTCCATCCTTGGCCACCACAACATTGGCCTTGATTTCATTAGGCAAAGCTTGTAAAAGCTTTCGATCCTTGCGGCCGACCCATGATGGAAATCCATCGATCAACGGGTCGTCATTAAACTCTGTGTTCATAGGAGAAACTGAAACCAGAGTGGCTAGGGAAGTTCTTGCTCTCGATATAAGGTCACAGAGCACTGGTTCCATAAGGCTCCTCACTGACCCTTGTAGCCCATCCAAGCATGTGACATGGTTAGTCAGCACGCTACTTAGCCATGCCTGACCATTTGTATGCCAATTAACATCTCGTCTTTCAACATCAACGATAGCATCCATGGTCCTATCCCTGGATAACTCCATCAACTCCAGGCAATCGGCTAGACTCGCTTGCTCTCTGGGATTATTGTTCGCATCGTTGAAGCTGTGAGCCAGGTTGATAGCACTTTGCATATGAGCTGCCGATCGCTCTAAGAAGGCATGTAGCAGATCGACATCCTTCATTCTCATGCTTGTGCTTGAGGCGACTTCAGAGAGCAAGGCTGTGCACGATCTCTGGTCAACAGCTCTCTCACAATATTCATATGGGTGATAATTAGTACCAATGGAGCTAAATCTAACTAAACGAATGGCAACCGGAGCAGCTAAGCATATTAGAAGTACCGATGTGAAAATTAGGGGGAGAATCCTGCTGTAAGAAGCTCTTGGCCTGTCTAGTAGAGGCTGACGGGTATTTGCCATGGTATCAGGTGAGCTTGATCTGCTTAACTGCAGTCGTAGGCTCTTTTGTCCTACATATTAATCCTTAAATAAGCAAGGGACTCTATGATGGGATTTTCCCTAATCAAAGCATTAATAAACAAATTAAGGGGATAATGATTGAAACTATAACACGTAGGTCGAAAGAAGTGTTATTTAATCAACTCCATGAATGAAGATGGAAGTTATCATTAGCCCTGGATTTGAGATGATCTGATTTTTTTTTTCAGTGGATTTTGTCGACTTTGGAAAAGGGGGACATTTTCACATTAGTAAGCATGTTTTGGCTTTTACTTTTTATTTGAATCCCACAATGACTAAAGAGGCAATATTCAAGCCAAGGCTAGCTCGGCTCAGGAACATGCCCGTACCCATGTTTCTTGGACTAAAGCTAAAACGTTCAAACCTCTTTCCTCATTAGATTTAATTATTGACAATTTAGGAGTAATTTAATCATCAATGGTAGAATTTCTAGAGCCTTGGAGAAAGCAATGGATCATCATATGACAATGCCTGCCACTTTAGAATTCAAGTGGGGGATTTTATTTCCACTTGTACTGTGAGCCATCATGGAATTGCTGAAATTCACCATTAAAACAACAAACCCAACACCTACACGACCTGCCCTTGTCTTCCACTATTTTTTTTATTAGTATTTACTTTTGTGTCCTGTTACATTTTTTCATATTTTCCCTAGCATTTTGTCTAGTTTTAACATTTGAAAACGATATTTGGGTCAGTAGGTAACCCGACATGGTTAATTGGAAAACCGACAGGATAGTAAGGCCAACTATTTTAAATTGTAGTGGTAAAATGCTGTGTTGTACGTCAACTTGCACTACTTTCGGTGGGCTCTTGCTAGGTTACACGCATGTAAATTGAGATACAGAATTCGAGGGCTTTTTACTCTTAACACAACGCAAACAATTACACAATCGAAACGGTCCATGAATAATTAAATCGAAATGGCCCAACATGCTTTAAAACGCCTTTTATCGTATAAGATAACTAGAGGAACACTTTGATCAGAGATTACAGAGTTTTTGCATCCAATAATACAATGAAGAAAAGATGAAAGGTAAAGAGGAATGTGCTTCCTTCAAGTAAATGTATATTGCGCGACAAATGGGGAAAACATTCATTCATAGTTGAGGCGGAATATGTCATTATGCACGAAGAAATTTCCTTCAAGTACGGGTACTAGATGAAACATCTGTAACACCATTAAAAATTAGACTAAAAAATGAGAAATGGAAATGTTTATTAATCAAGAATGAGAACCAAGCTCGAGTACGAAATAACTAACCTGGATGAACCGTAAATGGTGCTCCTCTCTGGGCAACTGCAGGCTGCCGCTGACGAAGACGACAATGCCGCCAGCGAAAGTAGAAGGTTGTAAATCAATGGTGCTGATCACATGTTGGCATTGATCAAACGGAAAGCTGGTAAGCTTAGCAGTGATGTCCTCAACACCTAGTATCTTTTGGCCCTCAAACGTCAACATGGAGGAAGGCCTGTAGAGAGAAGAGAGAGCTTGCCGATCATTATCGAAAAGATGGTAGTAATGATCTGTAAATGCCTTCCCGACCAAATCAATTTGTTCTTCCATTGGTTATTGTCTCTGGAAAGATTTCCCTTCTTCTCAAGTGTTACCATGCCATGGGAATATAAGGATAAATGAATATGCCATAAACAGAATAACATGTGGGCTAAGCTAAGCAACCAAAAGGGGACTGTCTCCCTGGGTTGCCATTCAGATGACCATAGTGACCTCGTATTCATTTGCATTTAGCTTAAAGTTCAGAGATTTCTTATAGCAAAAATGAAGGGTGCAATTGTAATTGAAGGATGAGGAATCGACACCGATGCCTGCAGGTGTACGCAAAGTTGGTTTGGAGGAAAAGAGTTGGGACTAGATTTGGGTCACCACCATAATTCAGAGCCTTTTGTAGTCGTCCAAAGGACTCATCAGCTACCTTTTTATGATATTTAAAAGCCCTATATGGTCGCGAGTGACTCATCAGCAACCAGATGCTAAAAGTGAGAATGAAGGAGGTGGGCCGAAAGTTGATAATATATCCTCATTTCTTTTCCTTGACAAAAGAATACTCTTTAGATGGATTCCAATTTCCTAATGCTTGACGAAGGTTTTATTAGAAACTATGTCTAAACTTGGCTAATGGACCAAATCTCCATAATCAACTAATGCCATGAGATTTAGATCCCTGTTATAGGAGTGAAACTACAATCTTAAGGACATAGGACGGCCATACCATTGTCAGCACTTTTCTGTTTTTTGGTAAGAAAAATATACAATGATCACAGTGGGAGCAAGTTCCATTAACCAAAACCCCATGGGCTAAACTTATTTTTCTTCAAAATTTTAATTACTCAACTTTTGAATTGCTCCTACTTTAGTTAATCTACAATTGAATAATAAATGATGATATAATATGACAATTTATACCAAAATAATGTTGTTTTGAATACCAAAATGGTGGCAACATAAGCTCATAATCATCCCTCTCATTTCGAAACTTAATAGTCAGCATTTTCATATCATAAATCATTCTTCCATAATCGGGATTATATAAGCTGGAGTACGATGGCATCGGTCATGTTACAAACTATGCATGGAGCTTTCAATCTCATGTCGAAAAAGGGCAAAAATGAACATATAAATGTAGGCGTTGCACATCCTAATAATCTAGTTTTGCGAGAAATGCACAATAATGCCGTGACAGATAGTATCAAAGCCAAATCTTAATTTATCGTACTCCCATGTGGAACGACCCAAGCTAGAGAATGCCGCATAACCTAAAAAGTCGTGTTTGCAAAGTGTAATTGCCATGTGATAAATGCATTAGCTATATCAATTACTTGAATCCAGAAATCATCCGCTTATAAGTACGCTTGTCAGGTTTAAGCCCCATTTTCAACATTTCATCATGAAACTTCATGGCTTTTCTCAGTTCCTTCAAGCGGCAGAGCTCACAGATCATGATTGTAAAACTTGCACTATCAACCAAGTTCAACCCTATCATATAATCAAACACCCGGACCACTTCTTCTGCTTTGTTTTCCCTCCATAGCCCTTCAAGAATCATGTTGTATGTTGTTACATCTAACCTTCCCTTCACTTTCTCCATCTTATCATGCAATGCAACAACTTTATCCATCTCCCTGTTAAAGCAATAATACTCCATCACCAAATAACAAGGAACTGAATCAGGCAATAACCCTTTCTATAGCATCACATTCAAGAGTTCTTCAGCCTTTCTCCAATTGTTTCTTCTACATTGTGATGCTATATATTTGGACAATTGAGATGGACAAGGACTATGTCCTTGTTTCATAATGTTCACCAACAATCCATATCCATCATCGAACCGATCTTCCTCACAAAGGATATTTAAAAATGCACTATAGCAACTTTCTTTTACCTTAATTCCCCTTTTCAACATCATCCTATACATGTTTGTCGCTTCATCTATTCTCCCAACCTGGGATATTGCCTTTAATAAAGATCCATGAGTATCATCCTGTAATCTAATGTTCTTACTACAAGCCTTCTTAAACATCATTTCAGCTGCATGTGTCCTTTTCAAATCACAAAGCTTTTGGATGATCAAATCATTTCCTGAAACTTGGCTTCTTGGAAGCAATTGCTTCTCTATCATCATCCTCATTATCTTCTCAATCACACATCTATTGCCATATTTACAAGCCCCATCAAGTACTGAGCTATAGGTACAAAAACTAGTATCAAGTTTTCTCTCATTCATCTCATTTAATCGATGAAATGCAGCTTCAAAATCCCCAGTTTTGCTATAAAAATCAACAACAAGATCATAAATTTCAGAATTATAAATGCCCTTATCTATCAATCTAACAACTTTACCAAATTTCCCACTTTTAAAAAGAATCTGCGCAACCAATGACCACGAAAATGAATTAGGGTCAGCACCTCGAATCATGGAACCTAAAAAACACCAAGCTAGTTTCACCTCATTTCCTCTCTGTAAAGCATGAAGCAGCTCATTATAAGAACTTATTGAAGGAGTAAATCCGCAGCTTGTCGTTTTTCTAAACACCACTAGTCCTTCCATAAAAAGATCCTTTTTCGAATAACATTTGATCAACGAACTTAAAGCACTAGGATCAAAATTTTTACCTTTGCAAGCCTGAATCATAGAATCTGCAACAACCGGTGCAGCATGCGACTGAATCAGAGGGTCTAAAATGGGGTCCACGGATGGGGAAAACTCCGAGCCGAGTGAAATTCGGATGATATGACATTCGGAGTTGAGGTCCGGTTTAAAACCCAGATGGGTTTTGACCCAGTTGAAGAAAGCTAGAGAAATTTGAGGGTGATGTTGGGTTTTGCGGAGGATTTGGAGGAAGAGAGCCGGGGTTAGTTTGGAGGAGAGATTGAGAGTTTGAAGAAGTGGTGCCCAGTTATGTCTTTGTAAGAGAATGGATGAGACTTGGGAAACTAGCTGAGCCTGTTTGATTTGACTTCTCCAATTAGAAGAAGAAGAAGAAGAAGAAGAATGATTTGTTGTTTTCGTTGTCGGGGTAAGACTCGAAAATGATTTGACGAAACGGTGAGAGTAGCAGCGAAAGTTCATCTGAGTTGAGGTTAGAGTTTAGAGTGTCTGTTGTCGTTTGAGAAATTACATTTTGCAAGGCAGACGTCTCAAGGCCGGCAAGAAAACTATAAGGTGTTTGATTTCATCTGTAAGGGCCCAATGGGGTTCAAATTAAAGCTCCAAGTCCAACTAGTTACCAATTTCGCTCTTACTTGCATCATTATCAAGTCAACACCCTCTCTGATCCATCACTTTAACCTCCTCCTCCATCATCATCTTTAATCAAATCTGGAATAGATTTAGAATAAACTTTTTCCATAACTGGATCTTCTTAAGTCATCAACATTTTGATTAGAACCAGTCTTTTCATTCATCACTATTTCCCTAAAATCAAAACTTAACCAAATAAATAAAAATGAAGAATAAGAACAAGACTCTCGGACGTCACTTGCCCCGTTGCCCGAAGATTAGGATCATCCGCTCTTTTGTAGACGACATGAAACTCGTGCTGGAGAGTTTGGAAGAGAAGATGAACTTTTTTCCTCTCTTTTACATTTAATATATAGGATTAAATAAAATTAAATATGATTTAAGATTAAATGTTTATATGTGTAACATTTTATGACATGTATTATATTTATTGGTTGAGCCTATATGATAGGTAAATAGAAAGTGTTTTTGACATAAATTCTTCGGTTTGTCGATGATTGCGGGTACTAAATCCAGCTGAGTGTTTTCTTTCAATGTTTCTTTTGCATTTCCTTCTAATACAATGGCTAGGAAATTAATTGTGGGTGGCTCATTCGACTGTAAATGTGAGGCAACAGATGTGTGAAACCTATTGTTGTGTAAAGGTATTCAACCCAACAATTATGGTTTGGGTATGGACGGGAAAGTATTGTTTGTTGTGTGCATTGGAGACTGATTTTCATTTTACTTTGTTCGAGATGTATAAATTTTTTATGATATAGCTCATGGACATTTGATTGGTAATTCATGATAGAATGTCACCGTACGCGAACTTGTGGGCGAAGTTGGCACACAATACATTACCTGTGGGATCACAACCAACACAAAATAAGCTGCTTTCACTGTGGTGCTGAGACCAACACGAGACCAAGGCACACAACTATAAACAGGGTCAAGACACGCCTGCCCTAATCTACCCACAAGCACGACCATCAAACAACAAGGGTCGTCTAGGGTTGTGATCACCGCATGCCAAGGTACACCTAGAGTCGAGACCAACGCACGACAATGTCAGCCGAGGGCTCTAGCCAACAAGCAACGAGATGCACTAGGGGTCGAGGCCAACGCACACCGGGTATGCACCTAGAACCGATATGAACGCACAAAGAGGGCCACTTGGGGACAAGGGCAACACACATCGGGGGCACATAGGGCCAAGGCCTGCGCACACCGAGGGTGCACTAAGGGCCGAGGTCAGCACCAACTTAGGGTCTGTCCACCTAGCAAGGTTGACAATTACTTGGAAAATAAAGTCAAGTAGCATAGTCATTGTTTGAATATGACTCAAATATTAGAGTTTCAACTAAAGTAAAGAGTTTTACTTGTAGTTAGACTAAGAGTAGTCATGAGATGCAAGGGGACTTCAATATAAAAGGAGGTCTTCCCACCTCCATTGGATATAGAGAGTTTTGTGTAAATAAACTCAGGCATTCGTGCTAAAATTTTTTCTACACACACTTATTTACGTTTTTTATGCTTTTTCATCGTGTTTATCGTTATAACAACATTAACCGAGGAGTTTAGACTGACTTAGACACCAAATAACCGAACGAGATATCTAAGGGACGCACGAATCAGTTAGCCGAGTGTTTAGCCCGTATCAATAGATTCTAATTAGATTCGTCATTTTTTATTGGAAATCGAAAATCGACATCCGTGTGTGGATATTAATTGCTTTACCCTTAGTAGACTTGGATCAATGATATCCACAAATCATCTAAACTCATCCAAATTATTAATCTTAGACTCATCTGTTTGGGATGCACGTGGAACGCTAAGGAA